GCTATAAGGAACAAAAGGTAACAGTAGTTGGAATAAAAACAGATAGAAATAAGGTTTAGGTATGCGGCAGTATCTTCGAACTAGGTTCATTGTTCGCTAAAGATACTTACGAGGAAAAACTATTCCTTTTACAGGAGAAGCAAGTAAACCAGTCCGCTGCTAATTCAGGTCATTGACACTTTCGTATCGATCTTAGCCACGCGTTGTTTTACGTATTGATCGATTCCCTAGCAGCGTGTCTTAGATTTACGGATTCCATGTACAAGCCTGCCTTTCGGAACTAGAACACGCTTGTCGTCGATATCAAAACTTCCTGAATATATCCAATATTTACTTTCCTAATACGTATTCTTGAATGTATTTTTTGTACCACTCGTACGCGGACGTTTCGCAATTGTTCGTACGGCCATCGTGAATCTTTTTCTGTTCCACAGACGGCCACATGTGCGATAGGGACTTGGAAAACTTGAAACGATGGAAGTCGGACGCGTACCTTGAAATGGAAAGGGCGGAAATTTTGACACCGCAAGGTGTGGAAGATATGAGATTGCTCGCGAGACGATTGCAAAGTAATTTCCCCCATCTTCTGCAACCCAACGGAAACATAACGCCGGAGGATTACTTGGTATTCATAATGTTCAGTATTGCGCGAAGGGATCAACTGTGATTTTTCCTGTAACGAATAAATTATGTTTAGTTTAAAACCGTCGATGCTGGCAACAGCATGAAATCGTTCAAGGAAGGGCTGTTCGGGAACGTAAATACTGTCATCGAAGAAGAAGTTTCCCCCAATGACACTTTGCTCGCTGTAAGTGATCGAGAATGATGGATGCGTTTGGTAATGTGTGACGGAACATTTTGTTCAAGTTGACTTTTTAGAATTGACCTGCATTATTTTATTCGGGTTGTTTAAAATATATTAACAGGATTGGGAACCAATGATACCAATATGGTCAAATAATGTTCAACAGGAATAAAACGATTAGAAAAATAAATATAGTTAAACTAGAAAAGTAATAAAATGGGAAAAATTTACTAATTCTTAATACGTAGGGCAGTTAACTGCATACTTCACATACTGACATGTAAATTTGTAGAATTAGAACACAACAATTGAATGAATTGCTTCTTATGAGATATATGATTTTCTGTTATTTACAAAGATACAAGTTTATTAACCATATTAAAGTTTATTATAGAAATATAATCCATAATATATAGATATAATTAAAAAATAATTTATATAAAAGAGTCAGTGAAAAATTATTTTCCAACTATTGAAAAGTCAGAAACAAAATCAGAAACAAAGTTCACGTTATATAAGGTTGTAAATCATTAACTTTATCTATTTCACTTTAAGGGAAAAATTATGTTTCGCCCCGAATTAAAATATTTAAATCTTGAAAGAAAACTTTTGAATTTTGGTTATAATAACTACCCCCTTAAATATCACTAGAGAGTTTCTTTTTCTAATCCTCTTGATATATTTAAAGTCTTAGCGATATCAGATAAACGATATCTAACAATGTTCTTCCAGGCATACAAAACCTGTAATTCATGGCTCGAAGACTGCAACAACATTTCTACGAAAATAGTGGGCGAATTCGAGAATCAACCCGAGTTTCAGACCCTCATACAGAACGTCAGTCGTCGTCTCGGATACTTGTACAATCTTTCAAAACGTGAGCCGCATTCGAGCTTTGGAGGCGCTTACTAGTTAATCGCAACGACGCGTCGCGACGTCGTCGTGTATCATGAAATATCTAACTTTTTAGGATCAATCCTAACGATGTACGACATGTGTCGTTACGAAAAGGCTTGGACAGTGACGAAACTTTCTCCCTGGTGCGCAGTCTTCAGCAAAGACGAGCTACGTGTACTGGAATATCGCGAGGATCTCCACTACTATTACAAAGCCGGATACGGACGCGCAATCAATGCTCAACTAGGATGTACGCTGTTGCAAGACATGATGAATCACTTTTGGTAACTTTTGCTTTTTGTTTTTCGAGTGAAATATCCTTTTATTCACAGGTACACGTGCAACTGTCTGATTTATTATTACGTAACGTTTTTAATTTCTCTCTACGTTACTTTCACGCTAATTGTTGCTTTTCGTTCGTAGGAAAGTTGAGAAGGACGAAGAATCGGTCGAACCTCGAGGCATATTCTACTTCAGCGATATCATAAGTCTGCAGAATCTCTTGACCACGTTGAACATAAATAAAGATCAAATGCAGCTGAAAGATTATAACTATAAAGACATGGCAAAGCGTCAATGGCGGACGTCTTTCATTTCTTCTTTCGCCGCCAATCTCGTTGCAGTATTTTACAAGTAAGTAATTCAGTTTCAACTATTGTTTCATTATTGATTCATATTCATGTTTGAGGGATTTACATACCTTCAGTTGTTAAACTAACCATTAATAAATTTCATCTATATAATAACCTACAAAATCCTCAATACATATTTATATTTAAAAAAAAATTGTCAACTTTTCCTCAGGATATTATACATGAAAAGAACAACGTGTTATTATAAATCATAGCGTTACTAAAAAATTTCATAAATCGCAGATACAAATAAACTCGATGACTTTCGCTTTACATTCGATTATAGACTCACAAAATGGCCACTTGATCGTGATTTATCCAATTTTTGGAAATATTGTATCGATCAAGACACGATACCTCACGTTTCCCCGACATTTTAATGAGTTTCCACTGTGCCTCTTTCGTTTTAAAGTACGATTCAAGCGTGAATTTATCGCGTGTTTTTCAAAGTTCCATCGCATGCTTAATACCGAGTGAACCGACGTTGACTAATGTTCTCAATAACACGCTAACGCGCGAAACAGACGGCACGGAACGTTTTAAAATCGCGAACGACTCGGGTAAAATGAACAACAGTTGGTCACAAACATCTTCTGTTTTTGTTCGCAGGTGCGACGGCGATAATCAACCAAAGAAGGTGATGTTTTACTTGGCCGAGAAACTTGTTATGATGGACGGATGTGATGTAGGTCTTTGCGACTGGGAATACTTCAAACAAAAGTTCAACCCAATCATCAACCGATGCGATCTAAACGCTTGCTTGGGCGGAAGCAGCGCTGGTACCTTTATACCAAATATCATTCTAGTTCTCTTCTCTTGCTTCACTCTAATATTAATCAGGGAATAGAGACTAAACACGTATGTGTGTTCAGTTGTAGAAGTTCGTGGTTAACGAACGATACATCATAAGTTTAATATCGGATAGAATATTCCCCGACATTAAGAAATTGCGCTTCGCGAATACTCCGCTGTGCTTTCGAATCGCCAAAGATGTATATTTAATGTCTTTACTTTCCTATCCTTAATGCTGTATACGTAATTTATAAACATTTATCGTTGTCTATCGCCATCCTCATTTGTTTATATTTCACGGATGTGTAAGCGGTTAAGTTGTATATTATTTATGCCATTCTTCTTTTCGATAACGTCCGTCCGATTCATAGTAGTTCCCACGACTGCACTACTTTACTATCACACACCTACGATTCAAATTTAACGTTCCGAGCTCTTACCGTTTACGATACGATTAAGGAACATATCCTTCTGTATGCTTAATGAATGTAAAGTCTTCAATATTAAGCTTCTACTTTATTTGGTAATGTCGTATACTTTATTCGTTTATATGCAACGTGATGTTTCATTCTTGAATAAAACATTGTAAGAAATAAACGATTACTTAAATAAATATGAGATTCACTGTATAAACGTTTACGATTTATTATCACTGGACTGCGGATGTTTATGAAAATTCATACATTTTTAGATTCGAATAAAGAATTGACGTTTAAATGAAAGTGTCTCTTATCTTCTTATTTTATACATTTTTGTATTCATGTACATCTTCGTACATTTTCTCTTGCCATAAATCTGTAAACATCCGCAGTATAATTATTACCTCGTAGCTTATAGTAAATAAAGTATATTTGAAGATAGATTAGAAGATAGATAGCAATTTAGATGAGAATTCAATTAATCGATTTGACGAAAACAACCAAGAACGAAATTGATTTGCATTATTCATTAATTTATTCATGAATATTTCAATAAACGTTATTAAACAGTATTAAATCTTATTAAAATGGCTATTAAACAGTAGTTCATTTAAGAATATGCATTTAAGAATTAGTATTTTTTTGTCCTTCGTTATGTTTCTTTTATCCGGGACCTTGCGTGCAGTTTTCGCAATTGTGGTTAACAACTTTAATAAAAATTATCATAATTGTACGGATAATTCATCTTCAAGGATGATCTGCAAAATTCTAGGCTATGGTCAATAAAATTTGCATTAGGCGGGCAAATTGCTGATAAATTGAAGGCTCTGTTAATTCGAATCAATTGAATACACTTTGCCAGCGTGGATCTCGCATGCGAAATTCGTTAACGAAAGTACTTCTCGACATTATTTAAACTTTACTAATTAAATGTCGAATATAAAGCATTAGCACGATGTTACAAATGAATCAGATAAAAGAAAGAAAGCGATGGAGTGTAAGCGATAAAAAAAAAGAATTACAAAGTACACTAGAAAATTGAGTTTAGTAACGTTAGTCATAAATATTTCGAATATTTATTTTTTCATACAATATACAATTCGTTATTGAAGTAAACGTAACAAATAAATCATTATGCGGTGTTCCTGTTCGATTATTGGAATAAAATTTTATTTATCTCCTGTATTACGAAGAATTTCATTACTAAACAATATTAAAATCAATAACATGCTTTTTCTTGGACAAGAAGCAATAACTTGTCATTTGTAGAATATAGAAACGATTTTTCTTCGCAATCAGATGAAACGTTATCGAATGAATTAAAGTTGCATAATTTGCGCGCCAGTAATGCTGCACTTGACACAAATGAAATTGTCTCATGAAAAATTAGCACGAGCAAAAGTTTTCATTACGTTCAGTCAGCCGTCGACTTTCTGCTCGTACTCGTGATGTTTGCGCTATTCAAATTAGCTATGAGTTAAGAAAACATAGAATATCATTGCAACGACATTTAAAATTTTAAACTTTGACATTGCAATTTTGGTTCGTCCATTATGTTGTGAGTGTCAATGTCTATTTCTTTGTAACTATTAACTGTGCAATATCCATGAATTTGTTATTATTCTTGCTCATCTATGTAAATAAGAATACGAGTTAATTAACACTCGTCTTTATCGACACCTACTTATGATGTTACCCGATTCACAATTATTTCATAAATTATAAAATGAAATAATATGTTATTTAATATAATGTTTCAAATCATTATGAAATAAAATAATATTGTGTAAAAGGGATAACCCAGAATATATCAGTGGCGTCAACAATAAAATAAAACGACTCGTATAGAAGTAACTTGTATGGGCGAATGCCGATCTTAAATTTTTTTCTACGCGTCACTATATAAGAATCAATCCTCAATGTTGCAGAATTTTTCTGTCATCGGCCAAATTAAGGAATTATCTCATGAAGGCTACTTTAATACTATCAACGCTCCTTTTGACGATGCAGGAAATGAGTCATTCGAAATACTTGACACCCATTAATCGGATACTCCAGGACGTCCTTCACTCGGCGAAAGCTTTGGACGTGCAGTTTATTATTCAGGATCTTATTGAGAGTAAATGCGAGATCGTCGACGAGATATATAGATCAGTGTCACGAACGGTGCCCACGAGTTGCATTTCGTTCAACGAGTCAATTCCCACGAAATTGCCGGCCTTTCGTGCTTACGATTCGACGCTAATCGTGTACGTTTACGTCTCGAAAAGTTCACCAGATCGTCGTGCAGTAGAAGACATCATACGCGTCATAGTGTACGACGACACTCGGCCAAGAGTTTTGCTGATAGCCATACCGGTAGAGCAGAACAACAATTTCGAGCTACTGCTGAAGCAAATGTGGCAGAATAAAATCCTTCATGCGATTATTTTGGAACTATCGGAATCCAATGGACAAATGACTGGGATGAGGATTCACCAGTACGATCCATTCAGAAATATCTACGAGCTGCAGACGTATACACCGAACATCCAATGGTTTCCTGACAAATTAATGAATTTCCATGGTTATCCAGTCACGGTGCTTGTGACCAATCGATTAGGCTACATGAATGTGACGACAAATTCTAAAGGGTATCTCGTTTCAATGTCAGACATAGACGCAGATGTATTACAAACGCTCGCTGAATCCTTAAATTTCACCATCGTTGCACGCTACATTGAAAGAAAAACCAGTAGTATCCGAGCTGTTATAGAGGATGGGTCAACAGAGATGCTAATGACGACGTTTCCTATAATAGGCATTCACGAAAGTCGAAAAATGAAGTTTACTTTGCCGATCAGCTTCGAAAATTGGTGTCCGCTGGCACCGATCATCCGCAAGTATGATCAATACGTATCGCGAGCCTTCATTGGGATCGCTTTTAATTACATTATCGTTATACTAGTCTGGTTCGCCTCGATTATTCTGAAATTTAATTCGAGACAGTGGAATCCATTGAACATCTTTGGCCTGATAATCTCCGCTTCCGTACTGATAAAGCCAAAAAGTATCACGGAAAGAATCATTTTTTTTATTATCATAGTGATTTCATCCATCTACTCGTCGCATTTATACAGGGATGTGACCTCCGCGAGTTTACGTGTCACGGACGAGATCGAGTACACGAGTTTCGATGAATTGTATGATTCTGGATTGATTCCCGTCGTTAAAACTACATTATTCAATGACACATTCGATGTTGACGACGAATCGTTCGTAAGATTGAAGGAAAAGGCGATAGACATGCCGTCGTCAATAGAATGTACCAAGTACTTGGTAAAGTACAGGAACGTTACTTGTTTTACGGAGTGGAAACACGCGAAAATAATGATTAATAAGCACATCCGTAATGGCGAGCCAATTATGAAGATATGCAAGAACCTTTGTTACAGGAGCCCACCGTCTGCGTACTATTTCTTTAAACATTCACCGTATGTTAATCGCGTGACAGACGTTATACTGCGCGTGAAAGAGACAGGTATTCATGAAATATGGTACAATTACAATTTCCGCAAGGTGGTATCGAAAAAGAGACATTTAATGGATATTAAAAATACTCAGAAACACTCGCTTATCTTTAATATTATTTATATTACCGGCTGGGGATACTTAATCTCGATATTGGTATTTTTTCTTGAATTAATCGTGCGTTTCTATAAAAAATAACGTTACGTTGAAATGTCGGCACGTGAATATTGAAATAATCTAAAATTAGGACCATAGAATTTAATGACCCTGTATTGTAGCTGTGTTCCGAAATGCCAACTTATTTTCAGCATGTTTGACCTGGTTACATTGCTACAACATTTGTCTATGAAAGTAAAGCACATTAAAAAACTCTACATTGTAAGTAAATAGTTTGAGTAAATATCGATTTCGTTTATAGCAGTCAACCTTTAATTATCTTTGGTAGTATGGTCGTCTTTAAGAATGTTTTTAATTATTTTTGTGTCGGATTCCCTCAAATTTGTGGATCTAACTTTAATAATCCTTTTGTTATTGTTACTTTTAATTTTAGTTTATTATGCGAAAAGAATAGCGTAGGTTGTTATTTATTATTGCGCGCTCTTTGACATTGCTTGTGATCATAGAAATTATGTTGAATATTTTCAGATACCATCTAATAAAACATTAAAATCAGTTTTACATTGTGTTAGTAAAACCAATTTACTAATGCATCGGTTCAAGAAAAACCATTAGCGAAAGAGTGGCTACGTGCTTTAGAAGTTTAATTCTATAATATGTAGAACTAATTATAATGTTTAAGAAGTAACTTTTACTCACTAGAAAGTAACTTTTTACTACGAAATGTATGTCTTCAATTGCAATTGTGCTAACCGACTAAAACTGTAATTACTGCTAATTTAGAATTATATTTATTTAGTTACTGTATTACTATATGCTTACAGATATTTTAGCCAATTTAAAAGAATTGGTGGGTGTCAGTTAAGAAGTAATGCGTGTCAAAGTGATATTGTTCTCATGATCCATAATATTGTGTTAATGAAAATAAAGTAATTCATTTAATCTATGAAAACCTCTTATCCGATGATTTCCTGGAGAGATATTTCAGAGAGCGTATTCAACGCACCGATGAGAGTCTCAACAGTTTTTGTGGACATTTCCTCTTAAATATCCATAGCTTCTCGACATTTATTGAAATTGCGGTTTATAAAAGTGTACTTTTATTCATCAAATGATTCACTGGTGTTCTGAACAAAAAAGTATACACATCGAATTGAGTAGCTTCCTTCTTTTCGAAGTCGGTTAAAAATGACTAAGTACCATGGCGATAAATGTCAGATCTGAATATAAAAATATCATTCAACCCAGGACCATTTGAAAAAATCTAACATTGTTAAGATACAAACTATATTTACTGTATACGAATTGTAGAAGAAAGTTACGGGAGTGTCATACGATGCTGATATTGATTCGGTATATGAGTTTATATAAAAAGAAATAATTATACTTCTTAAATTAACGTGACAAATTACGGATAAAATATTGAGACTTTACAGTTATTTTGAAATTTAATATTTTGGAAAGTTTGGACAATATTTTGATTGAAAATAACATCGAATTCTTTTTAGAGTGTATTATTTTGTCGAAAGTAATTATTTCTTGTACAAATAGAATCGAGGTTCTACAAGTTTTACATCAAAAAGAACAATAGGTGCACTATTTGTTTTTCAGACCATTTAACGAAGCGTAACACGTTACGCCAGGAACGAAAACTAAGGGAATGTGGCAATTGTGCCACAAAAGAACTTTCTCCATCAACGCAACTGTGTAAGTAAAATTGATAGAAAGATAGATAAATATACTAACACAAATAATAAATATAATGTTTAATATGAGTATACTATTTATGTAACAGTTTCTTTAGAAATAATTAGCTTTTGCACGTTTACGAGAAGTAAGAATTTTTAAACTGATGATCGTCAAAACCGTATACATAGTTTTCATAGTCGTTTTTATATTATTAATTAATGTTATTACTAAACTGCTGATTTTATGCATTTACGAAACAAGCTAATATAATAACTACATGCTAAACATAACTAAAAGATGTGTGTACTTATACAAAACGAAATCAGTATTTTTATATTAATTGCAGAATATAATCAATATAAATTATGTATATTTTTTGTTCTTGTTGAAGTAATTGTGGATTATCATTAACAATACTTATTATTTAAACAACGATGAAGAACATGATTTTGCTGCAATATCAATGTTTCGCGAATTATTTTCTCCATAGATCCAACGAGCCCTCGAATCAACCGTCACGCGGTTGTTGTTCACCCTTCCCCTTCTTTACTTTGAAAGGCATAAGTATGTCGCGACCCTCGACCGACACAGGTATACGAGGGGCGAGAGCTCATTCTTCGACGATCCTTCGGTCGATATGGATCTCGCGATCGCGCGTCCGCGTCTCGCGTCCTTCCTTGTGTAGTTTCCCTTAGTTATCGTAACTTGGTATTGGTTGTGGGTATCTTAGTTTGGTTTGGTTAGTTTTAAGGCATGCGTGTACGGAGTCTTTCCTCTGCCAAAGAATTATTAATCAACTTCTTTTGCTTTGTTCGTAGGTCTATATTGGACTCGCAACTTCGTTCTCCACTTCGGTCACTATTACTTCATGTGATAAGTGAAGTGACCAACTGTGTAACTGGACAGAAAGGTCGGTTGCCGTCCTCCTGGTGGATCTGTATTCGAGAGGACGACAATCGGCTCCTCCGGATCGGTTTTCTACTTCCTGCATCACGTTTAGTGTAGTCCAAGGCTCCCGGCGCAGTGCAGTAAGTCCAAAGCGCAGTGAGACGGGTGCAAGTCGGGTCCTATAGTGGCTCCCAACGGGGTGCAGGGTGTGGAGGACTGGTTCGGAGGCGTCGGTCGTCTTCCTCTCGAGTCCAGATCCAACAAGAGGAAACGGGACTGACTCAGTAAGTCCAGTTTCATGGTCGCGTCGTGTCGCGATCTTAATTTAACCTCACCCTCTTAGTTCAAATAATTGTTTGGCAGAGTCAGACTCAGACTGTGGAAATCAAAGGGAGTTTGCTTTCTTTGATTTCCATGGTTTCGTACTTAGTATTAAGCTCGTCGATTCTATGTAGAGCATGCATCTATGTATGTATATTCTATGTAGAGGGAGATCGAAGGAACTTTGATTCCTTCTATCTCCGGGTCTCCAGTCGCAGCAACCTCCACGTGGTGAGACCTGGTAATCGGTATTACTCGTGACGAACAATCCTTTGTCGCGAATAATACCGAGAGCTAATGGCTGCGAACTTGTTAAGTGTAAAATGTAAAGTATTTCAGTAACTAAGAGTTGGATAAAGAGTAATTAAATTACTTATTTTACATTTACAAAATACAGCATGATTTATTTTTAACGATTACTTATATTTTTGCTAATATCTCTGAAACCGTTAGAAATATTGAAAAATGTTTTAATATAGAATTTAGAGGTTTATCGGTGTCACAAAGTATTAAATTTCACTCTTTCACGTATTCCTCTCTTTCACATTCTCTTTTCTACCTCATTCAACATGGAAATTTAACGCAAACGATAAATAGGCCTGACGTCGTATAAAAAGTTATACTTTAATAACATCATTATCGTTTTATAAATAAATACACAAACATTTATCTCGAATACCCAACAAGGTCCTTGGAAGAGCAAAAGGAATCAATCTCAAAGGAGGAATAAACGACGACGGTTTACCGAGACCGAAAAGGTAAATACGAAAGTGCAGTCCTTAGGAACCCCCCCTCGAGAAGGATAGAAAGGCTCTTTTTTCTCTTACTTAGATTCGCCGCTTCGTCGCATACATTTCCCTCCAGACCTTCCTTCATCAGTTTTCCCCGTTCCATTTCCTGCGGCTACCCCCACCGGGGAGTTCTCTGCTCCCGCTGCGAAACCACGCAGCAAGTAGTCGGTGGTACGATCAGTGTCGGACCGACCGGCAGTTTGTGTAGGTGGTGGTGTCCACGATCACTCTCACGGTTTATTTCTAACGCCCAGTTGGTCGAGACGAATAACCGGATAACCAAAGCGGCCGTCGAATGGAATTCTGGCTGTTTCATCATCGAACGATACCGCGGGAGAAAGAAAATTGAGGTGAGACACCATTGTCTACCATCGTAGCACGAAGCACGTGTTTGGCGATTCCCCTGTTGAACCGACGTTCCACCCACGCTCCACGGTCTGGTTATAGTTCTTAAACTCGTGCTGCTTTATTCTCAATTTCTATCTCTCAAGGCTCGGCTAAGCTACAGTTTTTTTTTTTCAATGACGACAACGTCGCGACACGGGTCGGAGTTTTGAAAATTAAAACATAGTCCTCTTGGTCCAGATTCGTCTGCAATAGTGTGAGTAAGGACACGTGTATATTTGTTGGTTTTAAGATCGAATACATGCATTTTTATTTATACGTCGACATTTTATTATTCCTTGAGAGAAACAGGATATTTTCTCGCATTTATAATTATAGAGATACAATGGTGTAAAAGTTCTGGAAGTGAGGATGTATTTCATCGTGGTAATGTGAATATTAGAAGTCTACTGACTATGAAATGTATTAACGTTAGATGTACGGAGCACTGTCTCTATCTACTTATCTTTGTCAACCACTTATGCTGACTTTTATCCACATGAAGAAACAAGCAAACTTCCAAATTACTTCGGCAACAGATATAAAAAAAGCAAGCACTGTAGAGAATATATTTCGAACTCTGGCAACCTAATGTTAATTAACTTTATTCTTGAGAAGTATACAGATGGTAGTACAGAGATGTCACGATTATGTAGTAGACTGTGCTCCGATTTTATTTTCGACATCGGCCTCGCAATCGTATAATTCAAGAGCCGCGAAATTCGTTTGTACTTGTTTGCGATTCAATCTTACGGTCTACTCTAACCCCTGGCATACTAAATTGCCTCAATCATTTTTGTTTTGGCTATTTCTAAGAGATGGTTGCGTTTCGTCATTTATAAGAATCTTCTGGCAGCAGAAGTCTATCCAGTAGCAGGTTTAAACTTGTTTGGAGTGAATGTGTTATTCGTCAGTGCTATTCAAATTTAAAATCGACTATTATTTATTTTCATGATTGGAATGCATACATAGAGTTAATATTATGTACACATTATCCGCCAATGTCCCATTTTTTGGACACATTTTCACACACAGAGACAGTTTTTTTGGTATACTATTGCACATTCCGTCAATGTCCCAAAAATAGAACGGAATAATTTTTATATTTAAGTAAAAACTATAACAACTGTGGCAAAAATTGATCCAGCTGGTTAGTATGAGTATCATTATACAGTTAATTCAATTTTCTTTTGTATTTCTGAATTGAGGCAGGTAATGGGTTAAATGAAGAACAGAGAACGCAGAATCGTTTCTTATTCCATGCTCGTCCAAAGTGGTAATTGGATGAATGACAATTAGCGTGTATTTTCACTTTATCAGCCTTCGACTTGGCTACTAGCTTATTAAGGTGTCCTCAAGGAGACGTGATAATCGATAACAAAAATGTGATCTTAAAAGTTCAGAGTGGATATAACAATTCAAGGGTCGATATTCACTTACGTAGGCTCGATCACGCAACGTCTGTGGTCCTTATGAAAAAAGTCGAACGTAGTTTAATTAGGAGAAAAATTCTAGCATAGTCGTTAATTCGAATGCAAAGCTTGATAATCGCGTATGATTGTTTTCTTAGGAACGATAATCTTGTTATACGCTTGGTGGTGCGTTCTGGCTGCTGGTCACCGCTAATAAGCGCGTTAGCGTATTTTTGGGACAAGTATGAGAGCTACAAAGCGTACCTTGTTCTTTCTATCGCGTTCATCTTCGCATGTCACGAGTAATTACTCCGAGAAAATTCTATCAACGTATGATTAAGTGAGAATTAATGGAACGACTGTTACGTGCTAATTCACGTTAAATCATCAACCAAGATTATCCGTAACAAAATTTCACTAAAGTTGTTTTATGCGAAATCAAATTATTCGTGCAATTTGCATTACGAGTAATCGTTTAATTTTATTAAACGTTTCGATTCTCACTGTGGTCACGCTTTGGCAACTATTTCTTTTTTGCAGAACAATTTAACACACGTTTGATCATAGTTTGCGTACTTTAACATGATTGAAGTTAATCTGTGACAAGCAGCATTATTACTGAACAGTGGATTCGATTTGACGTTTAATAAAGTTAAACAACTACTCGTAATGCTGATCGTTTCACTCGTTTGATTTGCAATTAAATATACATGATTATTAATTGTATAACGATGTAATTCAGGAGGAAATTTAATTGCTTTCAGGAATTACCCGCGGATTTATGATAAAATATATTCGCATAAAGTACACATAATTAGTAAACGTAAAACATGAGTTTGTGCGTCCACTACGTCTATGCTAACTCATTTGTGTTTTTTTTTAGTAAAGAATTTCCTAAAACCACTTTGAGAAAATATTTTATAATTCAATTATAGCGAAGTAAATTTCTGAGCCGTTAATCCTATTTTATTCTTATTTTGATTTTAACATAAATTGTTATGATAATACATATTTATATGTACTTCTATATCTGTTAATCTTTCGATCGTAATCCAATTCCATTGCTATTTAGAGTTTTTCTATTAATATTTCTATCTACGAAATAACCACCGCGGTATTAAAGTTGCACTTTTTATTGTCCGCTATATCTCAGTGGTCTGTTGCGAAAGGTGACGAAACGTTACGACGTGTATTCCACAATTATTCGAGGTGGTTGTACTCGTTCTATTTACAACTCAGTCACGCGACATGATATTAAATCTCGTGGAACACAACGATAACACATTTCCGATTTAAATTACGAATGGATCGGAATTTAATATTTCAATGGAGTTCCAATTCGTAATCGATTGCGTTTATCACTAGCGCAAAGTAATCGCACGATCTGACGAGGTACATATAATTAATGATTAAACGAACTTACCAAGTGAAGTTCAATCATGATTGTATTTCGCGCCTCTTCTTCGAGATCATAATTGTAGTACCTCTCATTGTCCTCAGTGTCGCCACAAATTTTAAAGCTTAGGGAAAAATTGTTTCCTTATACTCCGCAGTCTCGTACGCCGTTCGCGCGTCCGCGACCAACTTCATTCTTGAAAGCCTTGCCGTAACCACAATTACGGGTATCTCCCTCGAGATGCATGGGAGGGAGGGACTGATCTCTTCGGAAGAGGCGCATCATACAATCGTGATTGAACTTCACTTGGTAAGTTCGTTTAATCATTAATTGTATTTCGCGCCTCTTCTTCGAGATCATAATTCTAGTTGTTTAAAGTTAGTTACGGCAACAAATTGACACCCTAACATATATTTATGTGTGTTTTACCAATTCTTTTTTTTTTCTTTTTTAACAAACCAGGAACTTTCGAAACGAGATACAATGCTATTCTTTTAAAAATAATTGCCTTTCGTAAAAGGACTTAACATTCTGACACCGTCTCTGCAAATCGTCCAGTATCTGAAGAAACGCAACCAATCATAAAAACGAGCGAAAGTTTCGAAATCTTTCGACCAACCTGCCGTTTTCCGTATTAGATCAATGTTCACACCTTGTCTTTTTGCCACTGATGTAGCAGCGTGTCGCGTGCTATAAGCCAAAAACGTGTTAACATTTATGCCACTTTTAGCCAAAAGGCTCTTTATCCACCTGCTTAGAGTTTGAGTGTCCACCACTTTGTGTGGTTTCTTAAATGATATAAATGATTTAACTACCGATCTACGCAGTTCTTTGGTTCTGTCTAAATAGGAAAAAATCGTTGAAGCTACGCATACGGACTTATCTTGTAAATAGAACGGAAGTCTTAGTACTGGCTGTTTTTTTTTCTTTTCTTTTCTTTCCCCGGGCCCGAAGTTTTAATGGTATCGGGAATTTTAATTTCCAACGTATTCTGACTCGATCTATAAATATTCCGCGTTTCAATTAACGACAGAATTTGCATACGATACTCCGTAACTAAAGTCAACAATGTCACAAGCTTGAGCGTTAGTCGTTCTAAGCTAATCTTATTGTTGGGATATCACTTCGATAAATATTTTAACACAATTCGGGGGTCCCAGGTCGAGTCATACCTCGGTGCTGCTGGCCTTAATTTTGTGACTCCTTTGAAAAAACGCTGAATATACTCATTTTGGCCTAAATGAGGTCTCAATATTAAAAATATTGCCGATCTGTAACCATTTAACGAGCTATGCGAGGCTCCTTTGTCCAATTCCACTGTGAGAAACTTCAACACCTCACTTGTGGAACCTGTAAACGGGTCAATTTCTTCCTCCGCGCAAAATTCCCACCATTTTCTTAGGCCCGATTCTTATTGGCGAAGCGAAGATTCTGATAATGAGGCTGTCAATATCTTGACCGATTCCAGTGGTATCTTTCTCCTAATCAACGCTTCCCCGATAATTTGATAGAAAAACAGGGAACCAAGGCTGGGCTTCCCAGTATGGTACCACTACTATGCCCATTGACACTTCACGTTCTATTTTCCTCAATATTCTTAAAATTACTGAAAATGGAGGGAACGCGTAAAAGAACCATTTTTTCCAGCCTAACGTGAAAGCGTCTATGCCGATCGAGTCTGGATCCCTCTGTCAAGATACATAACGTTTACATTTCGCGTTCACTCTACTTGCAAACAAATCTACTTGTGGGATGCCAAAATATCTAACGATCTTTTGAAATGCACTCTTGGATAACTCAAATTCAGTTTTTGGTTGTAATCTCCGTGACTCGTAATCGGCTTCGACGTTTTCACTAGAACGTATATACGCTGCCGAAATCCAAATTTCTCTTCGTTCGCACCATTGCCAAATTTCCCTGGCCAGTGCACTAAGATCCTCATAACGATTATCTTTCATTTTATTTATGTATGCGATTGCCGCCGTATTGTCTATCCTTAACAAAATACTACTTCGTCGTACGTCCTTCGCGAAGCATTTTAATCCAAAAAACGCCGCTTTAAGTTCCAAGACATTTATGTGTAATTTTAAATCACCTGTATTCCAAAACCCCTGACAACGTCGGTTTTTACAGAAAACGCCCCACCCTGTACGTGAAA